TTTTTTCTCTACATGTTCACTACCCTTACCTTTTGTGTGGTATATTTCTAAACAAAAGGGCTTTCAGCCCAGGCCCCTGGACTGCTTGCTGGGCAGGGAAGAGCAAGGCAAACTGGTCCCTGGGCCCTACCTCAGAATTTACAGATTCAACATTTCCAGAGGAGTGCTCTGTAGATTTAAAAGTACCTCTGGCGAGTCTTATCATCAAGCAAGTTGGGGAAATGTTAACTAGTAGCTTAACCCAAGATACACATTCTCCTGCCTAAGAATGAAAACCCTGGTCACTTTTTTCTGAAGAAGGAACTTCTGTTTGCTTAGTATAGGAGTAGAGTCTTAGCCAATACTGGGATCAGTAAACTCTGTGTGGACCTGGTTTTCTAACTCAGTTCTCCTCGTAACAGCTACTGGAAATTATTTTCATTAAATTAACAGTATTATTAGAGCCACCACAGCAAGTTCCAATCATTAACAATTAAAACACAATCTACACCTAAAACTTACTGTTTAAATTTTCAAGTAATCAAAGAATAGGTTTATTCAACTTAAGCAACTATATGTTGCAAATACCTTTTGGAATTTCTCTAGGGATCCTGATATCCTTTGGCTTTTAACCATCCCCATGATGAATATCCCTCAGTTTTCCACTGTTCATGCTCTGGAAACATGGTCTCCACGTTCACCCTTCCAGTGTATATTCCTTTTCCCATGAGACACCTTGATCATCTTCATTTATATAAATGCGGTAAGATACAAAGCTCTTTAGTATTGAAATTGCTCTAATGTAATAATCTTATTGGAACTTACAATCATGAAATGCTACTAATAACTTGAGTATCTACTACACATGGGGTACATGTATTTATCTCGTGGCTCATCACAGCAATCGTATTAGATATACAGTATTAATTCCATCACTCATATGAAGAAACAGGCTGAGGTGTGCTCACGTGGGGGCTGGAATCCACATGTGCCATGACATGAAAGAGACTGGGAAGTTCTGGTTTAAGGTAGACCTGCTTTGATCATTACTCAAAAGCTGAATAAAAGTATAATGAGGGGAGTCAGTATAAAAGAATCTCTTTAAAAGGCTGGCATGGAAAAAGGATTAACAGCCATGGTATAGGTCTATACTATTGATTTCTAATATTTTTTTCTTTTCTTTTTTTTTTTTTTTTGAGACAGACAGACAGAGATTTGTTGCTCCACTTACCCATGCATGCATTGGTCATTGGTTAATCCTTGTATACGTCCTGACTGGGGATTGAACCCACAACCTTGGTATTATCAGGATGATGCTGCAACCGAGCTACCCGACCAGGGCTCTAATATACATATATCTGTTTTTTTTTGGTCTGCACTCCCTCTGTCATGCCCCACACTTAGGATATCTTAAGGTATATTCTGACACCACTCAATAAAGTAACCTCCCAATATAAATGTTAGCTCGCTGGCATTACGTTCTGGGGTAAAGAGCAGAATCCTGGTTCTCTGTGCCAATGCTAAACGTATTCAAGATAAGTCTGAAATAAATTCCACTTAAGAAAGAGAAGTGCTTAAGTGAGAGTCGAAAGCTTTATAGAATGAAGCTTAAGGCTATAAGGAACTTCTTTTAAAAGACAAAAAAACTAAAGCCCAAATTACTTGAATTCACAAGCACCTGAACTGGTTGCTAGTCCAGATCTCCCGGCTCCCAACAACTGCACTTTCTAGATGCCTCCAGAGAGCTCCTGCTGATTGTTTCCTTGACTCTCTCTAAAACCATAAAACAATGTCCAAGTACTTCCTGCTCTGCAGGGAAACAGAATTGCTGGTTAATCTGCAACTAGCAAAGCATTGTTTGAGAATCCAGAATTTAACCTTATGCCACTAATTAAACTTAAATTTGTGATATTTAAACACAAGTTCCTTTATTAGCCAGTCCTTGTTTATATCTGTGAAACAGAAAGGTGGCTTTGTTTTTGCATAGATCAGGAAATATCCTTAAAAATGAATTGTTATGTTGTTATTTTGGGAGCACTTGATATATTATGATATATCAAAGTCTATGAATAGTGGTTGCCAGAGGGGAAGAAGGTAAAGAAGGAAAAATCTAGACTTTGGGTGATGAGCACACAACCAAGTACACAGATATGGTACTGAAAAGCTGTACACCTGCCATGGCCACGTAGCTCAGTTGGTTGGAGCACCGTCCCGATGTGCCGAAGTTGCAAGTTTGATCTCCGTTCAGGGCACATACAAGAATCAACCAAAGAGTGCATCAATAAGTGAAACAACAAATTGATGTCTATCTGTCTGTCTGTCTGTCTCTCTCCCCCCTTCCTCTCGCTAAAAAAAAAAAAAATCAATAAACTCCATTGCTTTAAAAAACAGTTGTATATTTGAAATTTGTTATTAACCAATGTTACCCCAATAAATTAAAATATAAAATATATGTAAATATGCCATGTTTGAACTCTATACGAAGACACCACAAGTAGAGTTTTCCTCCTTGTACTATGCAAACAACCCAGGTGGGGAGTCCTCAACCGAAAAGAGAATGTGAGATTGGCGAAGAAGTGGAAAAAATAAACTGCCTAAGACAGGATCAATTGAGTGAGGAAGGAGGCAATGTAGCTTTAAAAAAACCAAAGACAGACATCATATTTGCATAAATTCTTATACACTTAGCAACTCATTAGACTCACAGGAGAAACATAAAGGAAGCTGTAATTTCTGCACCCATACTTGCTAAGGCTGTACCGATACCAAGCAAACACTTTTAATTCCTCACATTTTTATCTCTCAACAACAAAAACCTAAAAGTTCCTTCTCCAGAAAAAAGTGACCAGTGCTTTTATCCTTAGGTGCTACAGTGTTGTCTTGGGTTAAACTGAAACCCAAGAACACAAGCTCTGTGTCACTAGCAATGACATCTGAGTTGGTTCTTCATTTTGTTTCCTGCCACACAAGGCCAGTTCTGCAAGAACAGGTATTGTTTCTTTCACGTCATTAAGGACAGATTAAGGTAGAAATAGGTTTTCCCAGCCCCCACAAAAGCATAAAAGTACTACACCCAAAACAGTAACAGCAATTAAATGCAGTGATGTGAATTAAAGTCCTGATGTCCAAATTTCAGAATCCTTGAGGGGAAAAAAGTCTTCATGTACCTAAGTAATATGTGATGTGGGTCTTTTCAGTGAAATTAGAGCCCAGGTCTGGAGCATATCATTACAAGGTAATAATTCTTGTAGGGTGGAACTTCTCAACTTTCACAGATTTATGTCTTACCTGTGAATTTGCAGGGAGTGGGGGGGGGAGGGGGCGCAGAGAGAAGGAAGAGAGAGAAGCTGTTTCCCAAATTCCCTTGTAATTTTTGCATTTCTATCCCAATCACCTGTCTTATCACAGAAACCCACGCAAGCCGCCTTTCCTCCTCTTTACAGATACAGTTACCCCAACCTCCACTCTTCAGGTCAAAAAATGACAGAACTAAGACAAAGCAGAATGTTCAGGCACACCTAACACACGTCTACGATGCGCTTCACCAACTGATTATTTGTGAGGTCCCTCTGTGCCAGACGTGGGACTAAAAAAATACCAATGAGTCCTTAAGGGACTCGACAGCTCAACAGCAGCAGGCAATGTGGTCCATCTTGGCTTGTACAGCTCAAAATCAAGTCAAACTCAAAGCACGGCACAGCGCAGGGAGCCAAGACCACTGAAGGAAGCATAACGGTCTCATACTGACCGCCTATAGGGACTGCAGCATCCTAGCGGATTTCCCTGCCACCAAAGCCCTTTCCTTTCCCGTCTGTCCTGCATTCAACGGCCAGATGCATTTCTAGAATCGCCCTTGCAAGGAGTCCCTCTCCCGCTCAGGAGGCCGGCTTCCGAGCCTGCTCACTGCCGACCACACCTAGCTCACACTCCCCTCCACGTCGCCCTTAGGCCGGCTCCGCTTACCTGTTCAGCTTTATTTCACGCTCAGCATGGCCCCCTTCTGCCAGTCCCTTGTGGACAGGGGGGGAGGACGCAAACCTCGTCCCACCTCCCACCCCGACTCCGCAGGCAGCCTTCGCTCGCTCTAAGCGGTCTCCACACACTTGCCTCCGTCGCCAGAACAGAGCCCCCGCCCCCGTTCCCCAGAACTCGGCACGAGCTTTCTTCCTAACAAACGGCAGGTGTGTCCCAAGGTATTTTTAAACGTTACCATCCCAACCCACCGCTCATCGTTCCGGCCACCGCGGAGGGGAATCGGAGAGGGCCGCTTACCGTCTGGGCACGGGAGTCCCCACAGGACCCTGGGTAAGAG